TGGCTCACTAGGTATGGGTCAAGTAGCCATACACCTGATCGGGTGAGAACAAACCAAGTCTTTAATTATAAACGCTAGTTACCAAACCAATGCAAAGGTGTGTGCTTTTGTAAGCAGCTTTCAAATCTAATGAGGGCATAGATGACATACTTTGGGTTGCTTCACAAATACACAAGTGCCAATCCAGAGTTCAGCCCTGGATCAATCAGACTTCTACACTTTACACATTTCTGCTTTCTTTCTCCCCTTGCACACACTTAAAAAAAAACCACCATGGAAAGCCCTTTGCCATTACACCCAAACCCACAAGTTGCGGTTTCCACAATCCCCACCAAGCTGAAATCAAGCTGTGGTTTCAAGGGGATGCACAATTCACAGCTTGTTGATTTGTATACGAGACGACCTATGATTTCTATGAAAACAAAAGTAGCTAACTGAAACAGAGCCTGTAACAGGTAGGAGAGGCAATACACAAGCAATTCCAACCATAGTCTTGACCTTCACCAGGAAACTCATCAGCTTTCGACTGGCAGAATCCGAGATTTGGGAGAGGAAATAATGGAGGAGGACTGGAAAAAAATTTAAGGACTATTTGCAAAAACATTATAAGCTGTATGAATGTTAAGAATGTGTACGATTAGGAAACTTTTGCTTCAGCAACACGATTAGGTGAATTGGAAACTAAGTTATAAGAAAGAAGAGGCGAAAACACGAAATAACTTTATTATGTTTATTTTAAATATATAAGAATTGGGATATAACATTGTGAATTTAGAAACATGATAATCGAAAGATACAGTAAGTTATGAAATAAGGTAACAAATTGCTGACGCTTTTATTGCAAAGAACGCAGGGCTTGGAGGATGTGGGGAAGTCCAGTTGGATTGTTAAAAACATTATGGAAAGTTGGATTGTTATATATTTCTTTTTTTTCCCTTTGTTCTTTTTCTTTTCTCTCTACTTTCTACATTTTTTACTGTAAGGAAAAAAACTTAATAAAATATTTTATTTTATTTTTTAAAAAAGGAAATTCATCAGCTTTCTAAATGAGGAAATCAATAGAAAAAAACTTTAATGTTGACAAAAAACTCCACTCCAGATTTTCAGGAACTGAACCTCAAATGCAAGGTAACAGGTTTCCCAGGACCCTGCAGCATTATTTCAGAAATGCAGCAACCCTCAAATATTTGTTCTAGAATCAGTGTTAGGAAATAGTGTGGTTTAGAGGTTAAAATGTTGGGCCAGGACCTGGAAAGCCAGGTTTCAAAAACCCACCCAGCCATGAAGCGACTGGGTGAACTTGGTGACCAGTTACTGTCACTTAGGCCTAACCCACCTACCTTACAGGGTAGTTGTGAGGATAAAATGGGGAAGAGAATGGAAACCATGTATGCTCCCTTTAGCTCTACGGAGGAATAATAATGATAATAATAATGTAATGATGTTGATATTAATAATAATAATAATTTATTATTTATACCCTGCTCATCTGGCTGGGTTTCCCCAACCACTCTGGGTGGCTCCCAACTGAATATTAAAAACACAATACAGCATTAAACATTTAAAAACTTCCCTAAACAAAAAAGAGGGGTTATAAAAGTAATGAGGAAGCAGACGGTTCCACTGGTCTCAACATATTTAAGGAGAAGTATTATGCTCATAAGGGATGCGGGTGGCGCTGTGGGCTAAACCACAGAGCCTAGGGCTTGCCGATCAGAAGGTCGGCAGTTCGAATCCCCGCAACAGGGTGAGCTCCCATTGCTCAGTCCCTGCTCCTGCCAACCTAGCAGTTCGAAAGCACGTCAAAGTGCAAGTAGATAAATAGGTACCGCTTCAGCGGGAAGGTAAACGGCATTTCCGTGCGCTGCTCTGGTTTGCCAGAAGCGGTTTAGTCATGCTGGCCACATGACCCAGAAGCTGTACGCCAGCTCCCTTGGCCAATAAAGCGAGATGAGCGCCGCAACCCCAGAGTCTCCCGCGACTGGACCTAACGGTCAGAGGTCCCTTTACCTTTACCATGCACATGGATTCTAAGTTAATCAGTTTATTAGACCCCAGCTCCTGACCACATGAACAATCTGTGTCAAATACTAACTGTAGGGCTTAATAGATATTTATAAACCAGTTTTGCAAGAGCTCAGAGTACTTCCAATATGGTACCACACTAAAGATAGGACACTAATCTCCTTATCACTCAGGTCAGGCACCAAAGAAAGTATAGAATATCAGCATAGCTCACTCTGAAAAGCTCACTCTGTCATTTTGGTGGCCTAGGTCTTTTAGATTCTAAATGCTACATATGGGTTTAATCTGTTTTATAGTACAGTATTTTCTGTTCCTAGTATTTCACATTGTTTTATGTGGTCTTCATGTTTATTCTTGTTATTGTTTTTACTTTTTCTGCCACATTAGACACTCAAGAGAGGCTTCTAACCTGAGAAGTATAATATACAGAAACCAAAATCCTCAGCTTTGAAGATTTTATAACGAACCACACAATGCTAAAGGCCACTGTACTTTCTCTGCATGACTAGTGGAGTATCAACATGTTTTAGTCAAAGTGGGAGTTCCAGTGATTGACACACAACTCTCTCCCACAGATGCATCAAATGCCAAGTTTAAAGGAATAGGAAAAGATCAGCTTAGTCCACAATTCTTAAAAAGAGAAATAATCTTCGGTAAAATCCACTTTGTCCTGCTCATATTTCTACTTGTTTCACCAGAATTCTGTGTTGCTAGTTCACAAAGCTTCCACACCCATAAACTCCTTGTTCTTCCGCTGTGTCTCTGCCCCTGATCTTTCTTTCCTCCAACTTGGGCACCCTCAACTACCCAAACACCTGCTGTCCTCTTCGGTGATTCTACCCATTGTAGCCCAAAGTTTGTCTTATGCCTGGAGCTTCCTACAAGGAAATCTGCTTGGTGCCACTTTTCTCTTCCAAATCACAGCTCACAGCCTGCTCATGTCTTCAAAACCTTTGCCTTAATTCTTTAGTCCTCATCCCCAGCAGAAATGAACCCCATAATTGCAACTGCTAGCATTCATCCTCAGCTATTCTTCCTCTTTGCTTTTTCTACACTGCATTGCTTTGTTACCCTTGCTTCTTCCTATCAACTTCCTAACTTTCTTTCTGTCCTCTAGGGTAAATTCAGAATGTGAGCTACTTCAGAGGATGGAACACTCTTGCTTATGTTACTCTATAGAACACTATGTACACTCAGGACACATACAACTTAAATGCAGTGTGTTGCTCATACTCCTTATCTGCCTATTCCTGCCCACTTTTTAATCACTGACTGTGTTTCTGAATCAGTGCCAGGAGTGGAGGCTGAACACTGCCCTGTTGACATCATTAAGGACTGCTGCAACATGTTGCCTGCAGCCATCTCCTAGCAACTATTAAGAGTCTCTAAATATTGAAAACCACTTGGGAATAGCCAAAGCCAATCTACATATTGAAATGACAAGGTTATCCTTACCTTAGGATGTAGAAAGCCCAGGAATTAATACTAGCTGAATTCTTAACCGCTGCTGTCACCCTCATCCTCTCTGAAACTGCTGTTTCAAAACTTTAACACAAAGTTTGGAAGAACTTTATTCCATTATCATTCCACTATGCAAAAGCTCTGGCACCCTGAGAGTCAGATGGCAACCCCGCAATTCTAACAAGATCACAGCCAACTCAGCTTAGTTTAACAGCTTTAAGAAATTAATAGCAAAATATTAGATGTCCATTAACAGACCATCAAAGCATTTAGAATACCACATCATCATGACTGCATTTTAAATCATGACATGCATTCTTGAAATTATTTTGCGAAGGAGAAAAAAATAACCTGCACATGATGACCCTAAAAAGAACCCTGGAGTTTATGATGTCCAAATTTAAATGCAACATTGAGGTATGAGAAGCACTTACTCATGCAGGTGATCCACACAACTGATGTGTGTTTTTAAAAATGTACTATTTTTCCAACACGTTTAGAATAGTGTGCTATCATCATATTTGTAAAACACTCCATGCATGGAGTTTGGGGTAAAAGTCTTTTAAATGCTTTGGTTAGCCTTTTACATGTAAATTCCCATTTAAATACAACTACCTGCGTCAGGTGCATATGCTGTTACAGAAATAAAGTGCAGCAATTAAAAAAACTATTTGTACAGTACTTTCTAACTTTTAAAAATCCCTGGATATTGAAAACCACTTAGGAGCAGACACAGACAACCTCCACATCATTATGAAGGAAAGATTATATCCCAATTAAGGCTTCGTTAGTGTGTTAAAAACAATTCTAATGATTATGATTGCTGGGGTGGAGCTGAGAAGACGAGGCAAAAAATCCGTTACCTCCCAGGGAACTATAGTTTTTTTCTATTTATGCGCTTTCCCAGAAATCCTACAACGAGAGTGGCGGCTGCAAGACCATGCGGTTTCAGGAATAACGCATGAGCAATCAAGACTTCTCTTTCCCCCGGTCGCATCATGGGAGATCATTTTTTTTTCCGCCGGGAGAAGTTCTGGCTCACGAGGAAGTTGATCTACTGAAAAAGCACGCTTTTCATCATCAAAGATCGCAGCAAGGCTGCTCGAGCTAGCCCAACGGCTGGAATCCACACGTGCAGTTGCACCGAAAGCCTGGCGCGGGGGTGCGGAGAGAAACCTTGGGCTCCAGCCCCCCATCCCCCCCACCCCAATGCTTCTGCTGCCTGGACTCTGCTCCCTCTGCGATCATCCGGAAGCGGCACCCGGCACCCTCCAGATCCCGCTGGGACTCCAGAACCCGCTGGTTCCCGGAAGGAACCGGGAAAGCGCCACGAGGGGCTCCCCAGAAACTTAGTTTGGCGTGGGGCGCGGGGACAGAGAGCGAGCCTGGGAAGAGCACGTGGGGTCGCAGCGGAAGGCGCGGCCTGCTGTGGGTCAGGCCAGGGCAAAGGCGCTCTTGCTCGGGACGGGGAGGATTCCCGCCCGGCGGAAGGAGGGAGAGGGGGGCTCGCTTACTTGCAGACTCGGCTTGGCTTTGGCGGGGCAGCTCCTGAAGAAGGAGGTGCGGGCGGTGAAGAAGAACTCCTCCGACTCGGACTCTTCCCAGCTGCTGTAGCCGCTGCTCATGCTGCTAGTTCCCGTGGCGCGCCCTCCGTGCAGCAGCAGCAGCAGGGGGGCCCGGGCGTCCCTGCCGCCACCGCATGGAGACCCGCCCGGCCGGAGCTCGGCGGCGGACACGTCCCGTGGTCGCTGCGCGCCGCAGCCTGGCCGGCAGCGCACTGAGGCCGGCTCTCCTCTCGGACGCGCTTCCGCGGAGGCAGCGCCGCCTCCCGCCCAGCCAGCCAGCCAGCTAGCCGGGCCTTCCTCCCTCCTCCTCCTCCCTTCCCCCGAGTGGCCGCGACTGAGCCGCCACCTGCCTTGAAGCTGGGCGGGAGTTTCTGGCTCGCCTCCCTTTCCCCTCAGGAACTTGGCTCGCTCGCGCGCGGGGACTGCGCCCTCTCGCCTTGCAACAGGTGAGCCGGGAAAGACGAGGCCGCGCTTCTTCCCGCGGAGATAAGTTAGTGCTCCTCCCCAAGCGGCGTTTGGCCCCTGGGCACCTCGCCGCCAAAGTTTCGGCCCAGGCCGGCTGCATGAGCTAATATCCGTCGGAGATAGCGAGTGTTGATAGGCGCGCATTCTTGCAAAAGAGCTTCAAGGGTTGGCAAATGGCCCTCATTGTCAAGGGCACCTCCTTAGTTCCAGAAGAGCTCATCTCTCTTAAGAAACAAAATTAAAAAATTCCTTCCAGTTGCACCTTAGAGACCAACTTAGTTTGTTGTTGGTATGAGCTTTCGTGTGCATGCACACTTCTTCAGATACTCTTTTTTAAGAGAACACGAAGGGTGTCACTTAATCTGGTCCGACGCACCTCTGGTTTTCTGAATGGCACCAAGCCTTGACAAGTATCAAAAGCACACAGAAGAATACTGGTGTCAGAGCCTCAAAGGACCACACAGGTGTCAGCAAAGCGGGTGACACCTTTACATTTTAAAAGGTGATATATCATGGAGCTGGAGCAATCAAGACTGCAATCCCAGGCTCATTTTGGAGTACGCCCCATGCAGACTTCCAAGTAAACATGCAAAAAAAAAAAAAAAGACCAGGCTGCACACTAGGTGAGATTTTAGTACAGTGGTACCTTGGGTTACATACGCTTCAGGTTACAGACTCCGCTAACCCAGAAATAGTGCTTCAGGTTAAGAACTTTGCTTCAGGATAAGAACAGAAATCGTGCTCCAGCGGCGCCGCGGCAGCAGGAGGCCCCATTAGCTAAAGTGGTGCTTCAGGTTAAGAACAGTTTCAGGTTAAGAACGGACCTCCAGAACGAATTAAGTACTTAACCTGAGGTGGTACCTCTGGATGCGAACGGGATCTGTTTCCAGAGCCCCGTTCGCATCCAGAAGCGAATGCAACCCACGTCCATGCTTGGGTCGCGATTCGCCACTTCTGCACATGCACGTGACGTCATTTTGACCGTCTGCGCATGCGCAAGTGGTGAAACCCAGAAGTAATGCGCTCCGTTACTTCCAGGCCGCTGCAGCGCGCAACCTGAAAATACTTATCCCAAAGCTACTTCAACCCGAGGTATGACCTTACACAAACTGGGAGCAGATGGTGAAAGGCAGGTTAGAAGTCCCAAAAAATCAATTATAAGTACCCATATCCTAATGTAAAAGACACTATAGTCAACAAAACTAAACAGTGGGGCAGAACAGGTTCAGTCCATGGTGTGCGCGCACAAGCAGTTTTTAAAACCAGGTTATCCTACAAGACGGACAATTAGTAAAGTTGTGGACATGGGAGTGTCTTATGGGGTGGTGGGAAGCAAATCTCTCTTCAGAGAAAAGACAATACTTCTGTAGATATTTGTTGCCAAGTGGCCGAATCATAATTCTGAACTGTTAGAGGATTTCCACAGAATACCCTGATCGTAAGCATGGTTATGCTGAAGTGAATCTGACTCTTTATTGGGTCTTTTAGTCTAGGTTCCCTGCAGCCTTAGATGAGGAGTTTGCCACCTGTACATTCCCTGGCACATTTTGAACATGGTTAAAAACACAATGCTGAAATAATACAGCAAAGTAATATAATCTGAGTCTTTAAAAAAAGACAGCACAAACATGGTAGGCATTTTAAAAATGCTCAGTTATTAATTCCACAAAGCCAAAGCAAGTATGAATATGTTCTAAAGTTGAGTTGCAAATAAAGTTCCATAGTCAGTGTTTCCATAACTTTGAATATCTAAGTGCATGTTGTCAGGATGAAAAGGAAGGAGAAAGAACAAAAACAGTTGTTATATGAACACTGTACTGTCTGGTTTGTAACAGCTAATACCATGCTAAGATGCCTGAAGTTATATTGCTTTAGTGTCTTTATTTGCATTTTTTTAAAGCTACTGGCAAAACACTTAACTGCATCAACAAAGGAATGAGCATATACGAATCAATGTTTTGTGTTAGCTTTCTGCCAAATTTCACAGTAAAGCAGAGAATATCATCCTCTGTGTCCTCATAGTACAAGTTATGCGTAAGTACGGTACTTTTCAGGTGGACAGCATAGCACTTTTTTCTATCCACTACTGAGTTCCAAAGCATGCTCTTTATAAATTATGGGCCAGGCATGCAAATGGAGTTTGGCCTGCTGGCTGTAAAATTTTAATTGGACTTTGAATTATAGTGTGTGAGACAGACAATATACTTCACAGGGGCCTTATGCTTTGCTTATGAACAACAACCAGAATCGCTACTTGTTATTCCTTGAGCCTCTTGCTCTATAAGACAATGGCAAAATCACATTACAAAAGAAGAAAAGCTTTCTTACACCTAAAATTGATGGGTCCTTTAGTAAAGTATCAGGAATGCAAATAGCCGTTCATTTGTGCTATGAATTCCTTTTGTGAGGAGAGGCTCCTTTTTGTAAGGAGGTTTTTAGGAAATGCAAGTCATTTTATTTCAGACCTAGGTTAATTTTCCACAACTGCAACTCAGGCATACAGTAAAGCAGCATTTGAACTAACGGCTACTGCAAAGTTATTTGAAAGGGTGACATGTATTGAATTTTCGACTTCCTCTTGCCTATTTATTTCCAAAGCCTCAGGTTAAATCTGGGAACTTCCCTTTCTCCCTGTGCACTTACTGAATCATTCCTACCAATTTCTTTGATGCAACTTTTTAAATTTTGTCTAAGGTAGTAATCCTAACCCGCCCCCTGCCCCCATGTTGTTGGCTGGGGAGAGGTAAGATGTAGCGCACTCTCTCTGCCAATGATGAGAAGCAGACACCCAAACTACTCCATTGCAGGTGGGAAACATCACTGGTGGGTCTCCTCTATTGTTTCAGTGGCTTGAGGGTTTGGACCCGTAGGATCCAAAACATGGCTCCTCAGACCCCTCAGCTATGCCAAATATGGCTAAAAACTGCCTCTCCGCTTTCCTTTCTGATCAAACTTCATGTGTCGTAGTGACTCAGATGTTCCTGTCTTTCCTTGTCCCAGTTAGGATTGTTCTGCCCATCTACTTATAAGTGGACATGATCAGAACCTTTAGAATCACATTCCATCTTTAGAATAAAGATTCCTGTATGTTTTTACAGATAGCAAATCAAAAGCCAGTTTTTTTCAATGCACAAAATTAATGAAATGTTGTATCAGAAGACAAATAACATGGCAAAAATGGGAATTTAAAACACACCCTTAGACATCTAGTAGTGCTCTGTATTTAGTCCCGATGAATCACTTTGAACTGTAAATGTTTCAAGAAGTTTTAGTTAATACTGTGAATGTTTGAGGGAAGGAAGTAGAAGGATAATTATCCGTCTAGGAAAAATGACTAACCATAGCATCTGGTGTTTTAAGATACAAATCAGCTGGCTTGGCAAGAGTGCAAAATGAGCCAGTACCTTCCAAAGGTATATGGATTATGTGTGACAATTCTAACATATAACTGCGAGCAATTATAACAATTTAAATTTGTATTTACTATCACCAGCAAGTCAGCATGTAAGCACATGATTTTCTACATCTACTTCTAACATCTCCAGGAACCACATGAAACTGAATACCTTTCTCTTCCTCCCTCTCTTAAACATATACTGTTTAGCATGGACATCACAGACTTTAACTTGCAGTAAAATATAAGTTTATTCAAGATAGAATAAACCTTGATGATGGCAGGTTTCAAAGACCATGAAGGGTAGCAGAATATATGTAACAGGATCTATAACTTAATTGTCAGGTTGAAGAGTTGCAAAGATGGTGAACAGGGTTGACTTTGAAGTGTTCACTTTCAAACTAACAGCTATTGTTTAGGTAAATAAATGGGAAACAATTTTGAGAGAAGGGCAGCAAAGTGGATTCAATCTGACAAAAGCAAACTTGCTTAATTTTTCAGGCATCCTGGAGGTGCAACAGTTATGAATTTTGGAATAAACACCTTGGAAGAACTGTGGAAGCAATAACTTCTTTAGGAATACCAGGGATCTCCTCTCACCTGAGAAGTCAAGACTAATCACTGAAATTTCCAGAAAGGATTGAGGAACTGCAGTGAATGGAGAAATGGGTGGTTTCCTCTCATCCACACTGTGCATGAGACTGTCCTTGAACAAGACCCAGAACTCTCAACTGTCCCAAAATATGGCAGCCAGAATACTGGCTGGGTTTCCATTTAGAACTCACAGAACCCACAGAACTCTGGTTTTATATCTGTAAGCTGGGAGTGTGTGATAGAAGGACCGGCTAAAGTGGTCAAACCAGTCTCTGTTAAGTTAATGGCCCAAGCCAAGCCTGTTAAGCATCTTTTTTACATGTGTAAAGGTGAAATAAAGGTGTGTTGTCATAAAAGCAACTACCTAGCACAGGGGTCTGCAACCCTTAAGACAAAAAGAGCCACTTGGACCCGTTTCCGAAAAAACAACAACAACTGGGAGCCGCAAAAACATTGCAACATTTAAAACAAATATAACACTACATATATTGTTTCTGGCCTTAATGCTATATATACAGGATCGTGCAGTCAGCTGTCAATTTCAAGAAAAAAGGACAAATTAATAGCTAATTAAAATATTTAATTTACAACCAGGTAACCAGGTTAATGGGACTTTTGCTCCTGAACCTCAGTGCTCAGTGTCTGCATATCAGGGCTGTAAGACGTCACCTTCATTTTCACACAGGCTTGCAAGCTGTCATCTGTGAGGCGTGATCGGTGCTTGTTTTTAATATAGTTCATGTTGGAGAAGACCTGCTCACATACATATGTGGAAGAGACCACAAGGGCCATCGAGTCCAACCCCCTGCCAAGCAGGAAACACCATCAGAGCACTCCTGACATATGGTTGTCAAGCCTCTGCTTAAAGACCTCCAAATAAGGAGACTCCACCACACTCCTTGGCAGCAATTCACCAAACTTTCACCTGCTTAAGTTTAAAAAGGGGCTTCAAGCAACTAAAAAGGGGCTTCAGGCAACTAACTCCACGTGGAATTCCACGCGACCGCGACTGCATAATCAATGCCACAAAATGCCAAAGAAAATTAACCAGGGCCCCAGTGAACCATAAATCATAATCAGTGCCTGATGTAAATAATAATTAATAATGAGGGCCCAATGTCATCCTCATCATTATAAAAATAATCCCTCTCTTCGTGCCGCCCAGCCTCCC